CTGCCTTGTCCCTCCAGCCTCTGTTTGTGCGTCACCTCCCCCAGGGAGCCTTCTCTGGCCCCAGAGGGTGAGTGTGACGCCTGCGTGTGATAAGGTCCCACCGAATCTGCTCCTTCTTTCAATACTCCACTGCGCCAGTGGACTTGAATGGTTGGTTGTGGAATTGTATGTTTTATTACTGGTTTCTTGGCTCCGGGGGAGTGGAGGCTTTCTCAGTTCTCCCTGTGTCCCAGCGCCTGGCCCAGACCCCGGCCCAGACCACGGGGTACCTTCTCTCCCCCAGTGCCGGTTCACTCCACACACGTGTTCCCCGTGCAAAGTGGGTCAGACCTCCCCAACAAGCGTCAAAAGCGAAAACTCAGCCAGTACCTAACAAAACAGCTGATCCCCACGGATGACTTGGGCGCCAGAGAAACCACATGAGAACTCAGTCACAGAAACGTAACTAACAAAAGTGCCTGGAAATTTCAAAGCACATTTATAAGCACCTTGAGGACCAAAGACGAAACCCAAACAAAATCCGAGAGGGATCAGACGCAATGAGAACCGAAGAAATAAATATACTCAAGCCGTGTGGGGTGAGATAAAAGAACGTTTAGAAGGCACGCGGTGGCTAATGCCATGCTCTGTAAACGCTAGGGTCAGGAAAAAGAAAGATGAAAAGGCAGTTAGCCGAGCAGACAGCTCTCGACGTTGGAAAAGAAGGGACAGAGTAAACTCGAAGAAGGAAAGGACGACGTGCACAGCGAAACTGGACAACTAAGGGGTGTCGATCAGACGAGAAGTTGGCTCATTGAAAGTGGATCCGAAAAGTGTGGGTGCTTTGGAATGAATTGGGAAGGGAAACCCAAGGATCTAGGTCCGGGGTGAAGTGGGGGCCACGGCGGCCAGGGAGTGGACCAGAGGGCCGGTGGCGAGCTGGCTGCGGGACCCGGCTCTGCCTCAGACCCCCGGGGACCCTGGGAGGCCGATTCCCGCCCCCGGGCCTTGGACTTCCCATCTGTAGAATGGGAGCGCAGGGTTCCATGGCCTGCGGGGTCCTTCCCGACCCTGGCCGCCTGGGAGTCTTGCATTGCAGTCGGGTACCCGGGAGGGGACTGCGGTTCCTGCGGGCAGCGCTGACCACACATCTCTCGTACGAGCTGACGCTGCTCACCTTGCCTGCCTCCTCTCCATGTCGGCCCCCCTGACCCCCACCCCCCCACCTCCATGCTGGCATGTCTTCTCCCTCTTCCCACGGCCGGCCGGCCTTCAGCCCGTCCCGGTCACCTAGGACACTCTGCCCGTCCTGTCCCCTTGGCCGGGCAGCTCATCGCCTCCAGAGAGACCTCCCCGCCCCCAGGTGGAGGTTCAGCTCCCACGGTGCTACTGAACTGTCACGAAACCATTCATTGCACCTGGAGCACGTGGCAGCCTCCCACGCCCCCCCGTGCGCCGTCCACGTGGGCGAGCGCCCCGGCCTGTCTCTCTCACTCACCCCGGGGGTGGACACACCCCGTCCTCATCTCAGGGGCCCATCGGAACGGGCCCCGCGCCATGGCCGACCTGGGTAGCCCCCGCCCCTCACGCCGCCGCCCCCCACCCCCCCCCCACCCCCCCCCCCCCGGCGCCCAGGGCTGCCGGCAGCCCCAGCGTTCGCCTCTTGTTTACCTGCATGGACCTCCGAGCGACTCGGCTCCGTTCAGCCGAGCTGTCTCCCGCCAGAGCCGTGACAATTTCTTAGCTCCAGGCGGAGACAGACTGCAGACGGCTTAATTTAGAAGCGTCTCCGAAGGAATCCCTTGCTCCGCGCAGCCCTCCTCCTTTGGCTCCGGGGGTCCGCAGGGTCGTGACCACGCACAGCTTGAGGCCTGACTTGTAATCAGGATCCTCCTCTCCGGCTGCGCTGCTGGTTTTCGGAGGAGAGAGCCGGCGCGTGGGATCGCGGAGCCGCACACGGTCCCCGGCCACGGCTCTCACCGGCCGCGTCTCCTAAGCGTATGCTACCAGGCGGTGGTGGTGGTGGAGCCCCGCCGCTCCGGGTTCTCCGTGAGAGACCTGGGGCCCCTGTCCCCCTGCCTCTATAAAATGGGGACAAAACTGGGCGCTCTAACTAAGGCTTGTGCGAAATGCACCCAGCAAATCCTGAGCCCGCTGTGGCGACACGGCCGTCGGCGGGAGCTGCCAGGGGGGTGGGGACCCCGGCCGCGACAGCAGGACGGACCCGCCCGGGGCACGCTCTGAGCCCGCTCTCCGTGGGCTCCCGTGTCCCGCTGGGGCATCAGGGGTGTCGTGGGTCCAGAGCAGACCCCTCCCACATGGGGGCGAGCTGGTGCTTGAGTCTGCACCAAGCCAGCACCACTCAGCTTCAGCAGCACCCACCACCCCCCCACATCTTGCGGCTCCTGGTGGCTGCCGGCGGCTCCCGGGCTGTGGCCACGCGGCTCCAGACTCTGCCTCCGTCCTCACGCAGCCGCCCCTCTGCCTCTGGGTCCTCCGTCTCTTATGGGGAAGCTCATCAGGGGGTCCTTCTGGATAGTTCACGATGTTCTCGTTTCTACACCCTTAAATACCTCTTTGAAGACCAAAGAAGGCCACAGCCACAGGTCCTAGGGGCTCAGACGCTGGGTCTACGAGGGCCGACATGTGTGAGGACAGCAGACACGTGGACCGCATGGCTACGCTCCCCCGCTGGGGGCCACTGGTGACCGCGCACCCCACCAGGGACAGAACCGTTGCCACTGCAAATGCTACAAAAGACCGTGGCAACCGGGGAGTCCCAGCCGGCTGGGCGTTCGAGGCAGGCGGGGCGCCCACGAGGCCCCCAGGGACTGGCGCGCCAGCCGCGCCGACAACGCAGCTGCCTTCTGGGAGCCACGGGTGTCAGGAACATCATGCCCCGGTGCAGAAATCAAGCCATCCTTGCCAGGGACACGGAGGTGTTCCCTGCGAGTGTTTCTGTTTTCTGGTTCTTTTCCTGTCTTCTCCACAACATCCGTGAGGCCGCTGGGCACTTTCCTGGAGCTGAGGACGAGCTCCCCGCTGCCAGAGCCCGGGAGACCCCGACGCATGCATGCCCAGGAAACCTGGAACCCGCAGCGGGGGCTCCGAGGGCCCCCGACAAGGGCCCCGACGCGGGTCCCGGGGCCTGCAGAGCTGGCCCGCACTGTTCCCCGCATTAGCGCTTGCTGAGTGCGTTTCTTCCCAGAGGAGATGGTCGGGGGCTTCCCACCGAGTCTCGAGAGTGTCTGCATCCCACAGAGATGAAGACGCAGGTTCACGTCCCGGAATAACTAACAAGCCTCAGCAGGGGCAGCCACTGCAGGAGAATATTCTAGAAAGAAGCCAGAACTTCACGCCTAGAGGCTGGGGGGGCAGAACTCAAACAGAGTCTGTCTGCCGCAGACCCCCCACTGGGGGGCCGTCCCCGGACCGAGGCATCTCGGGGCCTCGGCTTCTCATCGGCCACGTGGTGAACGGTCAAGCTGGACTCCACCGGGCCCTCCTGCCCCCGGTGTTCCTGCTGCCCCCCTGCGCTGAGCCCAGCTCCCGGGACCCGGGGTCAGAACCTGAGGCATGGGTCTCCTTGACCCTTTGCAGTGGCCCGGACCTGGGAGTGGGGGTGGGGGGCAGGGTCCCAGAGCAGGGCAGCGGAGGCAGGCCTCAAGGAACCAGGAGGTCCCATCATGGGCTCTGCCCCTGGCCCCAGGTGGCACGTGACCAGGCCTCCACCTTCGGGAAGCCACCACTGGCCTGCGGGCTCTGGTTCAGGGTCACTGCCTGCCCCCCCCGGGGGGAGGCACCCATGTGTCCCAGCTCCATGCTGGGCCCGGTTTCGGGCTCTGAGCACAGACGTTGTCCTTGCGAGCTGCCCCGTGCCTTTCCTCCACTCCCGCTCCGTATTCCCCTCCTCCACCCGCCCTTCCCTCACCCGCCCTCACCCAGAGCTGCCTGCAGCCCCCTGGGCCTCGCTAGCCCCCCACCCCAGGGCTGACCCCCCTGGGTTCTTGATAAGGGGCTGCGGCCGTCCGGGAACACGGGTCCCGCTTTATCCCAAAGACACAGCAGGGCAAACCCAAAAGGAACCCACCCGCCAGCCCTCCCCCGGGCCCCCTGGCCCCCTGGCCGACGGCTCCGACTGCCCCCAGCCAACACCCGCTGCCCCCTTTGGCCCGTGCTTGTCCCTCAAGCCAGGAGTGCCCCCTGAAGGGCCTGCCCCAGAATGGACTCCCGCTCCGGGAGGTGGGGCCGATGCCACCGGTTCACTCACTGCACCGCCACCCCTGCCACTCTGACAATGGCGACCCAGCGGCTGCGGAACCAGTCAGTATGGCTCTGCCGGGGGAGGCGCTCCCATGCGCTGCTGTGTCCCCAGTGCCAGAGGGGAGAGGGAAGGAGGTGGGGCGGAGGAAGGGGTACATAAACAAGGGGCCCAAGCCCCTCCTCCCCCTGCCCCCTCCTGCAGGTCACCCTGAAGGAGTGAGTCGGCCTGTCAGGGGGCTGTTCTCAGCCCCGGAGGTGATGGAAAAGATCCAGGACAGGGAGGGGCTTCCCCAGAAGGAGGCTCAGCTGAAACAGCGACTCCACAAACCGTCACCCGGGTCTGCTCCCTCACCGGCCTCTGCCCGGGGCTCCTGGGCAGCTGCCCCCCAAGAGGAGGGCAGCAGGGTCACCCTCGCTGAAGCAGCATGAGGGACAGCGCCTTGAGGGACAGGCCCTGGGTGGGGGCGGCTCGTTGGGGGTTTCAATGGCGGGACGTCAGCGCATGCAGGTGAGGCTGGCTGTCTCCTGCCATCACCATGTGAGGCCCACTACACACTCACTGTCCCCTGCAGGGAGCTGGACAGGGGACAACACCCTGCCAGCCCTCTGTCCTCGCTCCTCTCCCTCTTCCAGCTCTCTCATCACAGCTGCAAGGGGCAGGCTGGGCGGGCAGGCAGGCAAGAGAGGGGGAGGGGACCCCAGGGTGCAGGGCCCCGGAGCACCCGTGCCCACCGACTTGCTGTTCCCCCCACCCACAGGTGGGCCCCCACCTCGACACCTTCCCCACCGAGGCCGATCGCCAGAACGCTATGAAAGCCCACCGGCAGGAGCGGGCCGTGCGCCAGGGAACCCTGCGGATGGGCAACTACACCCACCCCTGAAGTCTCCGTCCGGGCTGCCGTAGAAAATTCCAGAAGGACTCCACTTCCTCGCCCTGACTCACAGAAGACGCCCTCCTACTTTCACGTGGGTTCCGCTTCCACAAGGACCTCAGATCCCCGTCTCGGGTTGACTACTCTTGCCAAGAGCACCCCCGTTAGGATAGCCGGCGCTAGTTTAGCGGTGCCCAGCACCCCTCTGCCCAGGCCACACACCCCCTGTTCTCCAGCCCCCACCCAGTAGGACACCACCAAGGTACAAGGCAGGATTTAGACTCCCGGCTGAGGGCTGTCCCCCAGGCCCCGCCCACGAAGCATTGAGAACGCCCGTGTGTGCTGCCGGCACTGTGCTCTGAAAGCCCTCCGTTCGCACCGCAAACGGCAGCTTCAGTCGCTGTCCTGGGGACGCCTGGCGTCTCCCCGGGCAGTGTCACCTCCCCGGGACCCCGCTCCGAGGGCCACCCCACCGATCAGGCAGGCCAGCGAGGGCTTCGCCACCAGCGCTGACCGTGCAGGCCAACCCTTAGCGAGAGAGCTGCGGGCTGGAGGCCCCCCCCACCCCACCCCCCGGCCGGGGAACGCGCCCGCCAGACTCCCGGGGGGGGGGGGGGCGGCGGTTCTCACCTCAACCTCTCTGCGTGTTCTTTGGCTTCCTCCCACAGATCACCTACCGACCTACTTTAGATTAAAATGCGGTTTGTCACCCTCCTCTTGTGTCTTTATCTGAGAACCGGCAGAGTCACGACGGCTGTGAGGAGGACGCCGCATCCATGCAGAGGCTCTGAGGTGCGTGGTCTCCTCCCGGGCGCCCGACAGCGCCGCCCAGAGCCCCACGCACTGCGGCGTCTCCAAACCCATTTCTGGTCCGAGGATCCCTCCCCAAGCCCCAGCCAGACGCGCCGGCCCGCTGCCTACTGGGCCCTGCCGCGCCAGCCCCTGCCTCGCACCCGCCCGGGACAGACGCCCGACTTTCCCCACCAAACCTGCTTCTCCCTCTGTGTTCCCCGCCTCGTAAGTGAGACCACCGAGGACCCGGCTGCTGAAGCCAAACACCTCCACTCACTCCTCCCTGTCCCTCGCCTCTGACCTCTGACCCACCGGCCAGCCGGCGGCCCCACCCCCTCTCTGGGGGTCCCTGTCTTGTCTCTGGGGAACTGCAGTTGGTCCGGTAACCAGCTCCCAGCCTCACCCTCACGCCCATCTCCACGGAGCGGCCCCTCTCCGCGCTCCAGTGGCCGCCCTCTGTCCTGAAGTGAGACCCGCACTCCTGGCCAGGCCGGGACCCCAGGTGGGACCACTGGGGCTGCCCATCTGGCTTCACGCCCCGCCTCTGCTGCCTGCCCCCACTGCCCACGGCCCCTCACTCCTGCCCTGGGCTTTCTGCCAGCTTTTCCCTCTGCCTGGGGCACCTGGGCCCCAGACTGTCCCCTGCCTGCCCCTTCGTGCCTTAGCTTCAGATCTTCGCTTAAAAGTCAAGTCCCCCAACTCAAAAGGCCGTCCCTGAAACAGCTTCCCCTTAAATTCCTACCGACCCGTTTTGGTCTCTGCAACGATCTCCTGGTCCCCGCCCGCCTTCTCCAGAAGGGAAGTGCATGGGATCAGGAGTCTCAGCTCCAAGGGCCCAGCCTGCCGGAAGTGCCCAGTGACCTCTGTGGGGTGACGCCCCCCGCCAGCCCCTCATGCATGTCGGCTATGGGTCACGCCCCCTACAGACCCAGAGGCTGGCGATCAGAGACCTGAGTTCCCCCAGCAGCCGCAGCCCTTACACACACGCCCGCCCGCTGCCTCAGAGGCCTGCTTTGGAAATGGCACGCACACTAACCCCCTCAGACCCCAACCCACCCCTCCTTCCAGCCCGGGAGCCAGAGGGAAACCAGCGCCCCTGTCCCCACCTCAGCCGAGGCCACCTGACCCACAGCGGGCAGGGGGCCTCGAGTGACAGCAGGGAGCGCAGCGCCGCAGGGGCCTGGCCCCTGAGCCGGCCCAGCAGCCGTTCCACGGGTCAAGAGCGTGAAGCCCGGCTCCACCTTGTAATTTCTGTGTGGCCTCCAGCCAGTGTCCTGACCTCTCTGAGCCTCATCTGAGGGATGGGGCACAGCCCAGGGCCCCGCTGCAGCGGAAGGAGGTGACGGCCGCGGCCGAGAATGAGGGCGCACAGCGTGACCGGTGCAGGCCTGGCGCTTTGGAGCAGCAGATGCGTGAGAATTATCATTTTCTGTCAGTAAAGCGCGCCGAAAGGGCGACCAGACCCCACGCGTGATCGAGGGCGAGGGCAGGACGTCCAAAGGAACGAAGGCGTCTGTGTCCGGGCGTGTCACGGGGATCAAGATATTTTGCTCTGACCGACGTGGTTCCGTGGGTCGGGTCTCATCCCACAGAGCAAAGGTCGCCGGTTCAATTCCCAGTCAGGGCACGTGCCTGGGGTGCGGGCCAGGTCCCTGGACAAGGCAACCGATCAGCATTTCTGCCTTCTCTTTCTCCCTCCCTTCCCCTCTCTCTACAAAGAAATAAATAAAGGCTTTATTTAAAAAAGAAAAGAAGGTAAAGATATGTTTAACTCATCACACTCTTTGGCTCTGAGCTCCCACTGGATGGGGGCGGGGGAGCTTTGGGACACAGAATTTCCTGGAGCGCCTGGCGTTAGGGTCGGCCCGCCCAAGGGCGGAGGGCTGTGTTACGGCCACGAGAGAGACGCGCCTCCAGGCTTGCTTTTCCAAGGGCCTGGGCCCAGGAGACGGGGTGGGTGGACTTGACCGGAAACAGCCAGGGGAGACCTCTCGTGTCTGAGTAGACCCCAACTGGCGCTTCCTGCCAGGTGACCGCAGGCTGTGGGACCTGCTGGGCTGTGATGGGTGTCCTGGGGGCCGCGCCCCCTTCCTCTCCTGGAGATCCAGGCCTCTGGGTGCTCCCTGAGCAGCCACTGGCCACCCAGGGTCCCTCGGCTCCTTGTCCTACAGCGCCACCCGCTGGCAAGTCCGAGTGCAAGGCTGAGGAGGCTCCCGGCCTTTCCCTCCCCCAGCCTGGCCCGCCCCTCCTCGTTAATTATTTGTGCCCTGCACACAGCCCCAGGTCGGATTCCAGTCTCAGTCCACCTTCTTAGGTGTCCTGTCCCGTCGGCCAACTGCGAATGCCTGTCCTCATTTGTGCTGACCCTGGCGGAGAGGTCCCCCCGCACCACTGGGGCCCCTCGGATGTCCCTCGTGACCCAGGGTAGTGCCCCGGAAGGTTCCAGCCTGGAGGGGCCTTGGGGACCCTCTGCTAGCCTCCCTGCGCCGCCGTCCCCTTCACAGACGGAGGAGAGCTGCCCAGGGAGGCCGGAGCCCAGCCGGCGCGTCAGGCCACGGAGCCGCCCCAGGCCAGGCGCACGTGCCGGCAGGTGGGCGGCCGGGGAGAGCGGAGCCCTCCAGCCCCAGCGCCCCGACCACACCCCAGAGGTGGGGCATGCGCCCGGGTCTGCTGGTCTCCCCGCTGCTGGGCATTCCCCCACACCCTGCCCCTGGGTGGGTGTCCTGGAACCCGCTCCTCCCCCACCCCCCCCGCAGAGATTTCACTGAACAAAGGGGACCAGGCGTGCTGTCCTCGTGAGCTGGGGGCAGGGGCAGCGGGGCTGCACCTCCACCTGGTCAGCTTGAAATTCTTGGAAGTCCCCTCCGAGGCAGGGGAGGGAGGTGGCACCCCTGCTGTGTGCACTGGGGGGGGCGGGGGGGGAGTAGGGGGGAGTGAGTGCTGGCCTGGGAGCAGGAGCATGGCAGGAACCTCTGGAGACAGTGCTCTTGAAGCCGGGTGGGGGGCGTGAGGGGCAGGCAGCCCTGCCAGAGGAGACGGAGGAGGCCGTGGGGTCACTCAGCGGCCCGCGGGGGCTGCAGTGGGCCGCCTCCTCCGGCTGGCAGGGCGGGCTTCCGGTCAGGCTGCGTCCCAGCTGAAGTCCGCCTGTTTCCAGATCTTTCGACCAAAACCCCAAGCCTCATTCATTCTTTTACTCCCTCTCCCCCAACGGCTCTCTCTCTCTTTCTTTCTCCCTTCCTTTCCCTCTCTGGGTCTCTCCCATAGAACCACATACTTAGTAATTTCCTGCTAAGAAGAAAAGGGGGGCGAGTCTGGAGTCCAGCTGCTGTCCAGGATTTTCGGCAGCAGCCATGGTTGCCACGGACCAGACTCAGGCTGCCTGCCAGGCCAGGGCTCCGGGAAGCCGGCGGAGAAAGCCCTCCGCACACAGGCCGCCGTCCAGTCCCCGCGGGCGGTCCCTGGGTCCAGATGGAGGTGGTTTGGCCTGTCGGTCCGCCCATCGCAGCTCCTCGGCCAGTGCTGGCGCAGGAGCAAGCACAGGTTTTGGGGTTCAGGGAGAGCACACCCCAGGCAGCCCGCAGACCCGCAGCTCAGGCCCGACAGCCCGAGAGGCCGGTGCCTCCGATCACACGCCGCCCCCTCCTCACGCAGTGTGGTCCTTGGGGACCCCGCCCGCCTTCATGCTTCGTTTCTTTTCACTCGGGAAATCTCTGATGCTTGAAATCATTAAAAGAATTTAAAAAAAAAAAAAAAAACCCCACCACGTTGGCTTTTTCTCCAGGTTTTGAGAACCGAATGCAGGTAAATTAGAAACTCGAACCTGCAGATGGGAGATGATTTACGAAGGGGATTTATGCCGACGGGCCCCCCGGGCCCCCTGTGAGCGCTGCTCTGTCCTCCTTGCCTCCCCGTCGCCGCCAGCGCCCGGGCGGCGCACCGTGCGTGCGTGGGACCGGCGGCCTGCCTGGGAGCAGCGGGCGGGCGGGCGAGAGCGGGAGGCGTGGGAGGGAAGGACCGCGCATGCTCTCTCGCCGGCGGCGGGAGCTCCACGGGGCTTGGGGCCAAACCAAGCAAAGCGGCTGAGAACAGCGTGACCTTGAAGCTCGCAGACCGTCCAGATCCTCGCTCCAGCCCATCTGCTCGCAGAGCCGGGGAGCGAGCACCCAGGCCTGGCCGGGTTCAGCCACAGCCCTTTCCCTCTCCGCACGAACAGCCGT